GCACAGCCAATGACTTTTTCCTTCCATGCACTCTTAAGCAACGATGAGTACTTATAACTTCAAAGTTCGATTCTTTTTAGTTTTCTTTTTATTTTTCTATTAGTGATTTCAAGTCATAGTCTTTATTTATTATATAGATGATTTTCTAACTTCAAACTCTAAATTTAATATGATAAGAATCGTAAGTCAAAAGCATAGACATTAGGATGTTAAAATAGATACAATACCATTAGTCACTATCCCTCTCTAATAAACTGAAACAGAGGATTAGAGAGACTATGAGTCTAAAAACTTAAACAACTGTTTTGAAGAGCTTTCATTTTTTATTTTTTGGTACATATTTTTTGTTCTTTATTGTTAACTATTTAATTGAGTTTAGTTTTTTAATAGGACATTGATTTGAGTTCTTGATGTAAAACCAAATTTTAATCTCTATTGTTATTTTAGATTATAATAAATAATATTTTATTAGTTTTTTTAAGTTTAGATTGAAAGTAAATAATATTTTATTAAATTTTAATTTTAAAAAATTTAAAGCAAAATATCATTCAACAAGTACATAAGTATATACCTGTAAGTTATTTGATACTTGTTGGGTTAAGTACCAATTATAGTTCTTCAAGTATTTGGGTAAATACGAAGTTTAAAAAGTTATACCCACGTATTTTCAAGTCAAGTATAAAATATATCTCATACCCAACCTGTACCTGAAAATGCTCACCCCCACTTAAAATAATGTGTGTAACAATCTAGCCCACTATTGATACTGTCAGCTTTGATCCATTGGCCCTCACGATTTTAAAACGTGTCAATAGGGGTAACAGGTGCTGACCTATATATTTGTTGGTGTGAGATCTGCTTAGGGGTGTCACATAGACCCCTTTTCAAGACTTTGCATCATTGCCCCACTAGGTCTCCTAGAGTGCCTTTGATACAATTATGTGACACCGTAGGCAAATTCCACAACTACAAAGTACAAGTGAGATGTTGGTTGTATAAATCAACACCCCTCAATCTCTATTGACACGTTTTAAAATTGTAAGGCCTGATGGGTCGAAGTGAACAATATCAATAGCGGCTGGGTTGTTACAATGGTATCAAAGTCATGTGGCACAGTAGAGATGTTGGGTATATAGCTTAACACCCCTCAACCCCTATTGATGCTTTTTAAAACTGAGACCTAATGGCTCAAAGCCAGCAGTATCAATAGCGAAGTGGGTTGTTACAATGTCTTCTTTCAGTTTTCTTTCTCTCTTTTATAATACTTTACTCTCTTGTATATGTTATCAGAGACGTAAATTTAATAGCATGAAATCCTAATTTCGTTTTCGCTTTTTCAATCCTTTTTTATTTTATTTTATTTTATTTTTCAGCAATTTTCATTACTATTAGGGGTCTCCTAGTTTCATTTGAAAAAAAAAATATTTATTTTTGTCAAAATAATTTCTCTTGGTTCATCCAATTCAATTAGCTCACAACAAGTTCTTAATGAGCCAATTTTCTTCCACTTTGATTTTCTGCTAATTAATTTTCTTATGTAACTTCACCTTTTCTAATAATCTTCCTATTTCAAATTACTTTGTGTGTTTTCAACTTTCATTGTACATGTTGACTTCTTCTCTCTCAAATTCTTCTAATTATCTTTCTTTGGTTTCTTATTTTCCTAAACTTTAATTCTCCAATTCAATCTTTTATGGTTTTCTCCAACTTGATAATCTGCTACTTCAATTTTCTATTGATTTAGTTTTCTTCTATTTCTTTGTAGCTCTAGGTTTTCAAGTTTTAGCTTTAACATACAGAAGATTCAAGGTACTGTTTTTAGCTTCTAGATTTTTTTTGTCTTCTCACTCAAATATTGGCTTCAAAATCAGGAAAATTTGCGATTAGTTATGGACACATCATGTAGATTTGTTGTATTTGAAAATTTAAATTGGTTAAATCAGTTTCATACCATAGAATAATGTGCCTTTCAGTTCTCTCTCTCTC